CCTAGCAATCCTACTCCAAAATGTCTTTAAGTGACTGCTGTCACTGATGTGCAAGTCTGGAAGGTAAGACACAAGGAAATACAGGCCCTGAGCTGCAAAGCTGTTCCAGAGCCTGTCTTCCTGCTTTCCACTAGTCCATCCAAACCACCACTTGTGTTAATCAAAGCAGAAGGCATTACTGTTCTGTAACAGGAAGGAACTATCAGACCCTGGAGAAATAGTTCATTCCATTGACTGTCTTTCCCAGTCATTTAATGCACCTAATAAAGAAACACATGGCAAGTGTTTAAGAATATGGATGCTCAGGAACTGCTGGTGCCACTGCAGATCGACAAGCTGTGGGGAATGTCCCAACACCATGCTTCAATCTCATGCATATACTTCCAAGAGTGCCACACTGTGCCAGTGTAAAACAAGTATTGACACACAAGTAATAAGAGCTATTTGATCATTTGTGGGTCGCCGTGATTCTAAGTAGTTGTTCTCTAGAGTTCTGGGGTTTGAGTAGGAGCCAGAGGAGCTCGACCTTTTGCCAGGGCCTGTCGGTTAGTCTTCGGGAGCATCCCAGAAGCTGTTGGAAGGAAAAACATGTTGGTATTTTTATTGTAGCAGTTAGTTTATATCAATGTATTCAGTTCTAGAGAAAGCTACTGGCATTGGTAAGATCCATCCTCCAAGTTACTATTTTCTGTTCTACTGCTTTCCAGAGTTTCTTATTTTTGTGACAATTTGACAAACTAAAGGATCACATCTATAATCCTTTCCCATGTAGCCCATGCGTCTAATGCCTATTCACAATGCATTATTCTCCATTTTAGAGGTTACTAGAACTGGAACAAAAGGGGTGTACAAGAATGCTTGCTTACATCCTGAATAAAAGGGAGCAATTACACACCATTCTCTAAACCAGTGGTTCTCAACCTGGGGGTCGTGACCCCCAGAGGGGTAGTTGGGCCATTTTCAGGGAGTCGCAAAGCTACCTTGGTTGGCTCCGCCCCCTCCAAAATGGCTGCCGACCCCCTGTGCCAGACAAAAAGTTAGCACTCCTGGTCAGCCCCTCCGGCCAGCCCCCGCGCCTTTCCCAGCTCGGAAGGGCATGGGGGCCAGGCAGAGGGCTGCTCAAATGGCAAGGTCGTGCGGGCAGCCTTTCCGCCCGGCCCTCACTATTTATGCTGGAGATCAGAATGCTCCTTGATGGCAGGGGAGCTATACATCCCAGTAGCTCCCAAATGTCAAGGTCTATTTTCCCCAAACCTCTCCAGTATTTTCTGCTGGTAATGGGAGTTCTGTGTGCCAAGTTTGGTTTAATTCCATTGTTGTTGGAGTTCAGAATGTTCTTTGATGGCAGGGGAATTATACATCCCAGCAACTGCAATTCCCACATATCAAGATCTGTTTCCCCCAAACTCCACCAGTGTTCATATTTGGGTATATTGAGTATTTGTACCAAGTTTGGTCCAAATGCACAGTCATATTCACAGTGCTCTTCGTATGTAGGTGAACTACATCTCCCAAAAATCGTTGTCTATTCCTCTCAGCCCCCTCCAGTATTTTCTGTTGGCCATTGGGGTTCTGTGTGCCAAGTTTGTTCCAGGTCTATAATTTGTGAGGTCTCAGTGGTCTGTGGAAGTCAGAGCTGAATCGGTTGAAGGTACTGCAAATCGGTTGAAGGTACTGCAAATCCCATCACGGACTTCCAGGCACGGACTTCCATACCAGAAGTCCGTGCCTTGCGGGATTTATCGGCTTTCCGCAGGGCTTGTAAGACATACTTGTTTCGACAGACCTTTGATCTTTGATATGTTGTTTAATTTGTGTTAGATTTTAGTTTGTTCTTGTAAGCCGCTCCGAGCCCTAGGGGAGTGGCGGCATATAAGTTTGAAATATATATATATATGTGTGTGTGTGTGTGTGTGTGTGTCAGGAGTGACTCCTGGTGTGAGAGAATTGGCCATCTGCAAGGACATTGCCCAGGGGACGCCTGGATGATTTGATGTTTTTATCATCCTTGTGGGAGGCTTCTCTCATGTCCCCGCATGAGGAGCTGGAGCTGATAGAGGGAGCTCATCCGTCTCTCCCCGGATTCGAACCTGCGACCTGTCGGTCTTCAGTCCTGCCGGCACAGGGCTTTAACCCACTGCGCCACTGGGGGCTCCTGAAATATAAATATAAATAACTAAATAGATAAATACTCCCCGAGCATATTGTTTTTGTGATCAATCACTATGCTTTAATTATGTTCAATTTGTAACAATGAAAATGCATCCTGCATATCAGATATTTCCATTATGCTTCATAAGAGTAGCAAAATTACCGTTATGAAGTAGCAACGAAAATATGGTTGGGGGTCACCACAACATGAGGAACTTTATTTAGGGGTCACGGCATTAGAAAGGTTGAGAACCACTGCTTATATCACCATTTGCAAGGACTGCAGAAGAATTGGTTGTGAAGGGAAGGAGAAACCCTGGAAGGTCAAACCTTGGAAATCTGCCCTTGGCCCTTCCGACAAGGCAAGCTTTACAAATGATGAAGCATGATAGATAATTTTAGAGCATGATATTCTAGATATTGTACTGCACAAATCCATTATATAAGTTTAATATGAATTTGCAATATGTTTTCTGATCCACCATTGCCCACACAGTGGCATTACGACGCCATATAAATATGCACACTAAAACTAAAAGCACAAACAACAGAACATTGCACCAAAAATAGAAATTATAGACCTACAAAAAGTGGCATGCCACACACCATTAATCAGTTCCAAAGGTCCTCTAGAAAATAATTGCTTTTACTTCCTATGTCAATATGCTCTGAGAAAGAAATTCCATAGCCGTGGTGCCATTACTGAAATAGTTCTGCATGCTGGACTTTCAATGCATAGGAAATTGGAGCTGGTCTGATTACACAGGTGGGACTGTATGGAGTGGGAATAATTTTTATCAACTTTGGGGGATATGGCAGCTGTGCCCTTTCCTAGAATTGGAAGACCTAAAGTTGGCTGTGCATGGACTGGCCCTGTATATTAGGTTACGTCTGTATCAAGTTTACAACTCCCGTTAGTTCAAAACATGGCAGCCAGACTGGTTACAGGAGTGAGGATATCACACCTCTACTAAAATCCCTCCACAGATTGTATTGTCGAAGGCTTTCATGGCCGGAATTACTGGGTTGTTGTAGGTTTTTTCAGGCTATATGGCCATGTTCTAGAGGCATTCTCTCCTGCAACTATGGCAAGCATCCTCAGAGGTAGTGAGGTCTGTTGGAACTAGAAAAAAGGGTTTATATATCTGTGGAATGACCATGATGGGACAAAGGACTCTTGTCTGCTGGAGCAGGGGGAGTGTGACTCTGCTGGTTCTCCTGGACATCTCAGCGGCTTTCGATACCATCGATCATGGTATCCTTCTGGGACGACTCTCTGGGATGGGTCTCGGGGGCACGGTTTTGTCGTGGCTCCGGTCCTTCCTGGAGGGTCGATCCCAGATGGTGAAGCTGGGAGATGCCTGCTCGGACCCCTGGCCTTTGACCTGTGGGGTCCCGCAAGGCTCTATTCTGTCTCCCATGCTTTTTAACATCTACATGAAACCGCTGGGAGAGGTCATCCGGAGTTTTGGAGTTGGGTGCCATCTCTATGCAGATGACACACAACTCTACTACTCCTTTCCACCTAATTCCAAGGAGGCCTCTCGGGTGCTGGACGAGTGCCTGGCCGCTGTGTCTATCTGGATGAGGAGGAACAAGCTGAAGATCAATCCCGACAAGACAGAGGTCCTTCTGGTCGATCGTAAACCTGACCGGGGTATAGGGTGGCAACCTGTGCTGGACGGGGTTACACTCCCCCTGAAACCACAGGTCCGCAGTTTGGGAGTCCTCTTGGATTCATCGCTTACGCTTGAGGCTCAGGCGTCAGCGGTGTCTGGGAGGGCTTTCGCACAATTAAGACTCGTGCGCCAACTGCGACCGTACCTGATCTGGCTGATCCGGCTGATCTGGCCGGAAGTGCCTGGGGGGAATCTTTTGTTGAGAGTGATTTGATGTGCCTGATTATTTACTCTCTGTTGTTTTGCTGTTGTAATTTTTGAGCAGCAGAAAAAAACATCTGGGCGTCCCCTGGGCAATGTCCCTGCAGACAGCCAATTATCTCACACCAGAAGCAACTTACAGTTTCTCAAGTCGCTTCTGACACACACAAAAAAGGAAAGTAAATCTTTGCAAAACAGGTTGCATACCTAACTCTGAAGGTAGCTGTCTCCAACTAACAGTGCCCCCATCTTGTCTATACGTAAAGGCGGTTCTACACTTACATTTAAAGTGGGCTCAAAATGGTGTCCCAGATGTTGGTTTAAATTCACTTGGGAGCCTGAAATGGGCTCTCTGAGCTGCATCAGTAAGCACATTTTGATACATCCAGCCTTTAGTCCTCCCTTACAGCCTTCTTCACAAGTCACAAGAGCCTCTAGAAGGGAGGACCCTGAAAAATATGGTAGGTTGCTGCTGAGGGGCAGGAGCCACCTGAGCCCAGGAAGCATGGGATGGTTGCCAAGACATGTGTAGCTGGTTTAGTTTAAGATTAGGGTTCCTCCCCCCACCCCCGCCAGCCCCCCACCCCTGTCCCCACGACCCTTTGGGTTAATATGGATCAGCCCTGCGCAATGTTTAGCCACTACACGGCTAATCACATCACACATCGATCTAAGTGGTCAGTAGAGTTGGGGTCTAAGAACCTCATCCAAAGGATTCTGGGCTCCATGTCCATGCATTTCAGAAACAGAGGCCCATGGAGGCCATCACATGACATAAGGGCACTTCTGGTAGGATTCTGTACGACTCGGCTTAGAAGTCGCCTAGTAGAGTAGCCTAGAAGAACAGATATGAACATGACTGCATGCACCAAATATCCCCCACAACACTGAAGTTACATCTACCTAACTATGTTTTGGTGCAGGTCTTGGCCCAGATTTAAACATATTTGTCTTATTTATTTATTTATTTATCAATTATTTGAACTTATATGCCGCCACTCCCCTGGGGCTCGGAGCGGCTTACAAGAATGGCTAAAATATAACACAATTTAAAAACAATTTAAAACAATTTAAAAACAGTCTTATCTCCAACCCCCTGGAACTAGGTTAAAGATGCTGCCCAAACATGGTCCAAACAGAACTTGGACAAACAATGTTAAAACAAGGGACATTAAGCAAGGTTTTCGTAACAAGTGGCTCACTATTCTTCTGCCTTTCACTGTTGGATTTTGGACCAGTACTATGAGAGCTGGCAGAGTTGGTAACTGTGTGAAATCCCCCAAATCTGCTTTTGATTCCAAAAGACTGGTAACTCACCAGCCCAAAGATGCATACAGCATGCTGGACCCATCAGGCATCACCTCCCACCACACACCGTTGTGTTTCCTTCTGAAGGCACAAAGAGTACTTACTTACACAGGATGACAGGGTGTGCCCATGTTAGAAGTGCCCTCATTTCATATACTCCCCTTCGCTCAGATAGTCCAAAAAGGACCCTGACAATTCAGCAAAATCTTCCAATACAAGACTGGTAGAGTCCTCACCAGACAGGTCACTGTCAGGCCGAGGTTTCCGGGGATGAGCAAGAAGAGACACAGGGTGAGGAGCCACTGGGGCTGGCGGGACAAATGTGGCTGGCTGGCTCAAGGGCATGGGTGGCTCTTCACACACCCCGGCTTCTTCCTCCATTTCTGTATCCGAAGAAGCAGGACCTAGGACATGATAGAGGCTGGGCAGGCGGATGTCAAATCGCAGGCCAAATTTAGCAAAAAGCTTCTCGTTCAATGCGTACACCTTTTCTGAGATATCATAGCCAAGGAGGACAGAGAAGAGACGGGCAATGTAGCGCTCTTTTGCCAGAAGCAAATAGAGCTTCTTCCGTTGCCAAGTGATGAAACTGCAGTCTGTCTCTGCTGTCAGTGTGACCTGTCAAAGTGAGAAGAGAGACTTTATCTCACACAGGGACTTATTGTCACTAACTCGACTTTAAAACAAACCCAAAAAAAGGGGGGGGGGGTTACTCGCTGGAATCTTCACCATCACATACAATCCTGGCATGATGAAAGAAGTGAAAGTGTTATAAACAGAAACAGGAAGCAAATACAGCTTTGCAAGCACATTTAGACGGGGTTACACTTCCTCTGTGTTAGACAGGGTTACACTCCCCCTGAAGACGCAGGTTCGCAGCTTGGGAGTGATCCTGGACTCATCGCTGAGCCTGGAACCCCAGGTCTCAGCGGTGGCCGGGAGAGCTTTTGCACAATTAAAACTTGTGCGCCAGCTGTGCCCGTACCTTGGGAAGTCGGATCTGGCCACGGTGGTCCACGCTCTTGTTACATCCCGATTAGATTACTGCAACGCACTCTACGTGGGGTTGCCTTTGAAGACTGCTCGGAAACTCCAACTAGTCCAGTGGGAGGCAGCCAGATTGCTCACCCCCCTGTTATGCCAGCTCCACTGGCTGCCAATCCAATTCCGAGCACAATTCAAGGTGCTGGTTTTGACCTACAAAACCCTATACGGTTCCGGCCCAGTGTATCTGTCCGAACGGATCTCCCTCTACACCCCACCTCGGAGTCTAAGATCTTCTGGGGAGGCCCTGCTCTCGACCCCGCCTTTATCACAAGTGAGACTGGCGGGGACGAGGAGCAGGGCCTTCTCAGTAGTGGCCCCCCACCTGTGGAACTCACTCCCCGGGGAGATCAGATCAGCGACTTCCCTTCTCTCATTCAGGAAAAAGCTGAAAACTTGGATGTGGGACCAGGCTTTTGGAAACTCTGGCAGCTAAAAAGAAAGACCATAATGATGGGCAAATAATGACGAAACCTATTGGACCTATGGAACTCGAAACACTGACCATGAGACTGTTTATTGTTGTGCTATTGTGTTATATATTGATGTTTTTAATCTGTTAATTGCTTAATTATGGTAAACATTTTATATATGTATGTATTTGGATAAGGGCATCGAATTGTGCCTTCTTTTTGTAAGCCGCCCTGAGTCCCCCCTCGGGGGTGAGAAGGGCGGGGTAGAAGTAATCGAAATAAATAAATAAATAAATTTACACGCATTGCTTTTAGAAGTTGCCAAGAGTCTCCTCCTGTTTGTAGGAGAAGGATTTTTAAAATATGTATGTGTATGTGAACCTATTGCAAAGTGAATTGTGAGCCCTGAATATTACCCAATTTTCCCTTTTTATTGCCTAAAAATTAGTAGTGTGGGGGGTTTAAAGGGGTCTAAAAACAGTCTTGGAGGAATGTGTTCTGCCCCTTTTGCTTGTCATGGTGTGCAGGGAGAGCATTTGATAAGGGCTTTTTTCTTTTCATTTAATTTTTTGTTTATTTGTTTAAAGACAGACTTCTGACTTGTAATAATTACTGTTTAATAAGTCTCTGTGTTCAATGTATAGTTTACATTAAATTTCACTGAAGTTCCATATCTGTAGTCAGCGTTTATGGATGACGATCCCAAAAGGCAATCCCCATTGGCCCAATACCTGCAAACAGCCAGGTCTTCCTGCAAGATACAGTCCTTTGCAAGTATTTTAACTCATAATAAACCTGGAATAACAGCTTTATTCCAGGTTAAAACACATTTGCCTGAAGAATGGTTTGGATGCCCTAGGCTAATTTGCCTTCTACACTGAATCATTTGCCAGTATAGATAGGCCATAGGTCTTCCAGTGTAACTCTGTCAACTTCCAGTAGAAATTGTCTAAAGGGCCACATTGGAGGACTTAGAACAGAGAGAATGTATTTTATGTGGCGCAGCTGGCTGAGTGTCAGCTGCATTAAAGATCACTCTGACCAAAAGGTCATGAGTTCGAAGCCAGCCCGGGTTGGAGTGGGTTTCCAACCAATTGTGTGTAGCCTGTTGTTGACCTTTGCAACCCGAAAGACAGTTGCATCTGTCAAGTAGGAAAATTAGGTAAAACATTAAAGTGTGGGGAGGCTAAATTAACTGATTTATGAGGCCATAAAGAAGACTCCAGCAAAGCATTCCAGCGGGGAAGCATGCGGGGAATGCGGAAGTACTTCATCAGTGTCGCAGATGGAAGATGAAAGTGACAGCTCCCCTGGCGGCCAGAAAAGCTAAATAGCCTCTGTGTATGTCTGTATATGTTTGTATGTCAAAAATTGGCATTGAATGTTTGCCATATATGTGTACACTGTAATCCGCCCTGAGTCCCCTGCGGGGTGAGAAGGGAGGAATGTAAAAGCTGTAAATAAATAAATAAATAAATAAATAAATATGTATTTTGTAGAAATATCAGTACAGGCCGTCCCCGAGTTACAAACATCAGGCTAAGGCACAAAATGAGCTCGGGCTTGCCGGAGAGATTAAAAACAATAGAAGGGGGTTCCTTACTTATGTCAATAGAAAAAGGAAGAAAAAGAAACGGTAGGGCCTCTGCGTGGAAAAAGTGGTGAAATGCTAACAGGGGATAGGAAAAAGGCAGAGCTGCTCAACATCTTCTTTGCCTCAGTCTTCTTCCAAAAGCAGATTGGTGTTCAACCTGAGCAATGCAGATCAGATGAAGTAAAAGGGGAAATGCAACCCAAAATAGGTAAAAAGTAGTCCAGGAATAGCTGGCTACTCTAAATGAATTCAAGTCTCCAGGACCAGATGAACTGCATCCAAGAGTATTGAAGGAACTAGCAGAAGTCATTTCAGTACCACTGACAATAATCTTTGAGAATTCTTGGAGAACAGAAGTCCCAGCAGACTGGAGGAGGGCAAATGTTGTCCCTATCTTCAAGAAGAAGATAAAAGAGGGCCCAAACATTTACAGTTTAGTCAGCTTGATATCAATACCAGGAAAGATTCTGGAGCAGATCATTAAGGAAACAATCCACAATGACTTAGAAAGGAATGCTGTGATCATTAAAAGTCAGCATGGATTTCTCAAAAACAATTCATAGAATCATAGAATCATAGAATCAAAGAGTTGGAAGAGACCTCATGGGCCATCCAGTCCAACCCCCTGCCAAGAAGCAGGAATATTGCATTCAAATCACCCCTGACAAATGGCCATCCAGCCTCTGCTTAAAAGCTTCCAAAGAAGAAGCCTCCACCACACTCCGGGGCAGAGAGTTCCACTGCTGAACGGCTCTCACAGTCAGGAAGTTCTTCCTCATGTTCAGATGGAATCTCCTCTCTTGTAGTTTGAAGCCATTGTTCCGCGTCCTAGTCTCCAAGGAAACAGAAAACAAGCTTGCTCCCTCCTCCCTGTGGCTTCCTTTTTTTGCCGCCACATCACATTGTTGGCTCATGTCTAACTTGTTGTCCACGAGGACTCCAAGATCTTTTTCACACGTACTGCTCTCGAGCCAGGCCCCCATTCTGTATCTTTGCATTTCGTTTTTTCTGCCTAAGTGGAGTATCTTGCATTTGACTCTGTTGAAGTTCATTTTGTTAGTTTTGACCCATCTCTCTAATCTGTTAAGATCATTTTGAATTCTGCTGCTGTCTTCTGGGGTATTGGCTAAGCTATCCCTCCCAATATGGTATTGTCTGCAAAGATGATCATGCCTTCTGACCCTTCAGCTAAGCCATTAATAAAGATGTTGAACAGAGCGGGCCCAGGATGGAACTCTATGGCACTCCACTTGTCACTTCTTTCCAAGATGAAGAGGAAGCATTAGTGAGCACTCTCTGTGTTCGTCCACTTAACCAATTACAGATCCAACTCACCGTAGTTTTGCCTAGCCCACATTGGACTAGTTTCCTTGCCAGAAGGTCATGGGGGACCTTGTCGAAGGCCTTACTGAAATCCAGGTACGCTACATCCACGGCATTCCCCGCATCTACCCAGCTTGTAGCTCTATCGAAGAAATTCACGTCAGACTAATCTTATCTCTTTTCTTTGATAGAGTTACAAGCTTGGTAGATGCAAGGAATGCTGTGGATGTAGCATATCTTGATTTCAGCAAGGCCTTTGACAAGGTCCCCCATGACCTTCTTGCAAGCAAACTAGTCAAATGTGGGCTAGGCAATGCTACTATTAGTTAGATCTGTAACTGGTTAAGCGACGGAATCCAAAGGGTGCTCACCAATAGTTCCACTTCATGCTGAAAAGAAGTGACTAGTGAGGTGTTGCAGGGTTTGGTCCTGGGCCCATTACTGTTCAACATCTTAATTAATTGGATGAAGGTTTAGAGGGTGTACTTATCAAGTTTGCAGATGACACAAAATAGGGAGTGATGGCTAATACTCCAGGAGACAGGATCACAATTAAATATGGCCTTAACAGATGAGAGAGATGGGTAAAAATTAACAAAATGCATTTCAACAAGGATAAATGGAAGATACCATGCTTAGGAAGAAAAAATGAAAATACAGAATGGGTGATGCCTGGCTTGACAACAGTCCATGTGAAAAAGATCTTTGAGTCTTTGTGGACAGCAAGTTGAACATGAGCCAACAATGTGATGTAGCAGGTTAAAAAGCCAATGGGATTTTGGGCTGCATCAAAAGGAGTATCAAGTCTAGATCGAGGGAAGTCATGGTGCCTCTCATGGTGCCTTTGGTCACATCTCACTTGGAATAACATTGTGTCCATTTCTAGGCACCACAGTATAAAAGAGATATCAACAAGTTGGAATATGTCCAGAGGAGGACAACTAAAAGGATCAAAGATCTGGAGACCATTAATCTTATGAGTATCTTAAAGAACTCGGTGTGTTTAGCCTGCAGAAGAGAAGGTTGAGAGGAGACATGATGGTCATGTATAAATATGTGAAAGGGTGTCATAAGGAAGAGGGAGCAGACTTGTTTTCTGCTGCTCTAGAATCTAAGGTTCGTAGCAATGCCTTCAAACTACAGGAAAGGAGATACCACCTGAACATTAGGAAGAACTGTTTACAAGTGGAACTCTCTGTCTCGGAGTGTGGTGGAAGCTTCTTCCTTGGAAGCTTATAAACAGA